AGGCATCACTGCAAACGTATCTGATACGGATGCAAATGTCAATATGGGTGAAGGAGATTCGAAGAAAGAAGATCAAGGTCATCCTACTTCTATTGCCTTCGAAAATATTGTTTCTTTACCTCCACCAATCACTCTGATTACTTCAACCACTGATTCACCTACATTCGAAAATATCATCAATCAACCCTTTACTTCCATTTTTTCTTCTCAATCTACTGATCCACCCAAAATTAATTCGCCTATTCAAGAAACCATTCGTATGGAAACAGAAACTGACAACGAGGGTTTTGGAGGTATGTTTGATGAATTAGAATTTGATGACGAAGAAGAAGATTTTCCAGATCATATGCTGATGACGATGAAGCAGTTTAAAATTTTGAATAAAAATTGAATTCCATAATTCAATCTCAAGCTGATCTGGGGGGTGGTTCATCGGTTTCGAGTTTGGAAGTTGATACAATGTTGTAAATGTTCGAAGCCAAGATAGTGAGTAAAGTCTCTGGGATGGTTAGAGACTCGGAGTCGAGAATTTTGGAGAAGGTTGATCATATTGATCCAAACAATGAGCTACGCATAAATTCTCAAAATTCGAAGTTTGCAGGAGACTTGAAAGAATTGAAGACAGTTGCCAAGGAAAGACATGTTCTCTATGTTCAGGAAGTTAAGAAAGTTAGGGAGGATGTTAATTTGCAGATTCGTGAACTTCGCGAAGACATGAAAAAAGAGATTGCTAGTGTCCAACAGGATTATGCGTCTCTGACTCAGAAGATTGACATAATTTGTGATGCTGTCATGAAATTTGTCAAGTTGTACGAAAGTTTGAGTCCTCAACTTACTCAACTTTCTACAATGGACAGTAAAAACTTTGTGGAAGTGATTACGTTACTGAAGGAGTTAAAAGATCTATCTGTCAAGCCAGTTTCGTCTTCTCTGATTACTCCAAAATTTCTATCCCAGAAGTTCACACAATTCGAAGCTATTCTCCACAAGCAACTGGCCCCTCTTTCTCGTATTTCAAGCCTTCTACCAACAACAGATGCCCCACCTGTTTTCACAGGGGTGCAAGGGGGAGAAAGAAAAATTGAAAATACAAAGGCTGGTGGTGAAGATGCGAAGGTTGTGGGAAAGGTGTTTTCTTCGAAGATCCCAACAACAAAGCCAATCGTAGCATCTCCTGGGCCAGTTACATCAACAGTTGTAACAACTATGCCAATTACAAGACCAATTTCGAAAGGAATTGTGATTGGTAAATCTGTTGATACTAGTGGGAGTGGTTCAAAAACAAAACAAGTAATAGATGATTCAGCTTTGAAAGATAAAGGGAAAACGATAGTTGTGGAAAAGTCGAAAGAAGAAAAGAAAGCTAAAGCAGAAGCTGAAATTGAAAGGCTAAGGTTGATTCAAAGCATAATGACTCAACGTGCGAGTGATCCTAAGGGTATGGACAAAGGTGATCCGTCCAAACACTACAATTACGAAACAATTGAGCCAAGGTTGCATATAATCATATGTATTCGTTTGAGAAGAAACCAAAGCAGAGTTACATGGTTACGAATACTGATACAAGTCAGCTTGACTTTCCAATGAATGAGATGATGTTCATCATGCCACAATTTAAAGAAGAAGGAAATTTCAAAGAAAAGGATGATGGTACTCACATGAAAATTAGATTTCATGCTGTTCTTGCAAAAGCCCCTGAGGAATTTTGGTCTTTGGTGAAGATCAAGAAAGTTATCAGTATGAAAAAGGATGTGGTGTTCGAAAACACAGTCCAAAATATCAAGTACGTGGTGGCCAGGGCAAATGGAAGTATTTGCGAATTTACAATTGCAGATTTTCCATTAATGAACTTGTATGATCTTATACAAGTTGCATTGATTCTGAAAGACAAATCTATTTCATATCTTCAAAACACTGAACCTGATAAATTTAAGCTTGGGGTTGCTCACATCAAGATTTTCATCGAAAATTATTATGAGTGCTTGGCTCTAACTGATGTGGAGTTAGCTACAGCTAAAGGTATGGAAATAAAAGCTCCAATGGCACCTACGAAGACTCAAGCAGAATTGAAAAAGTATGCTGATGGTGAAATCTGCTTGAAGCCTTTTGGGTTAGTCTTCGCAGGAAAGGACAAGGCTGGAAAAGCAAAATGTTTCTTATTCCAGGCATGCTAAGTGGAGAGATATTCAACGTCTCAATATACAAACTTAATTGTTCGTATGAATCATTGTAAGAAGAACAATGAAGGAGATAAGAAAGAGCTAAAGAAGATAATTTCCTGGTACACGGAAATTCGAAGAGTGATGCTGTATTCCATCCAACTTCTTACAAATTAAGAAGTTCGACTATGATTACAAAGGGGGAGATTGTAAGGGTCAAAAATGTTGTAATTAGTCGAAGTATATTTTGCACTCTTCGAATGTTTTGTAATCTATTTTACTAAGGCGCTTTTATTCAAAGCTTAAGTGTCTATGCCTTAGTATATTTTTTGTGTACGCTTTCTGATTCCTATAAATAGGGATATTTACTAGAGTTAGATAAGAGTTTTTACAGACCTGTCTTTGTACTCTATAAACATTCGAAAGCGTAATAGAGCTGAAACAAGATCATATTTACATCCGTTGTTCAATCTCCAATTCTTACTTCAATTTTAACTCTGATTCATTTTATACTCGATTCTTTGGTTCATCAACCTCAATGTCGCGTAGTGTCTGTACTGCCCTCGATGTGAAGATCGACTCTCCTCGACTCCTCAGTCCCTACACGACAACTCTTCTAAGTTATCGATTCGTACTCACAACCCCTACAAGGGTCAGCTCAAATCCGGGTCAAAGTCAACTTTGGTCAAAGTCAACCTCCAGTTGACTTGACTCGCCGAGTTGGTCCACCAATTCGTCGATTCCCTATCTTATCAAAATGATACAACCCCTGACTCTACTCGACGAGTCTAGCAAGAGCTCGACGGGTTCTACTTCAACCATCATATCGGGACCATCTTCAACCAACTCGCCGAGTTTATCCTTGAACTCGCCGAGTTCATCTTCATCATATGAATGTGTTCAGTTTATGACTCGCCGAGTGATATGAATAACTCGTCGAGTCTGTCTTCATGGGTTGGGAGATTGCCTTGGACTCGCCGAGTTTGCTCATACACTCGCCGAGTCCCATGATTCCCATGTCCATAATCACGTCCTTCTTTGTTGAGTCCCCTTCTAGACTCAACCAGATTCCTCAAAAACAGAAAAGGCTGGGGAATCAATACCCGACTCGTCGAGTCCCAAGAACGACTCGCCGAGTCCCCCAAAGTCCATGTCCATAAACTCGATTTCTGTTGAGCTCATCTCATCCAAAGGGTAGATCTGACCTCCTAGGGTCGATATAACACGTAAAGTCACGAACTTTACGTCCATGCATGGGTCTTTAAGCTCAAAAGATCCAAAAATGAGGTCTACAAGATGCATGGGGCTCTCATGGCCATAAAGTTGGCACCTTTATGCCATGAGAACCCTCCAAGGTTCAAGATCTGAAGCCATTTCTCTACATTACACCCTACAACCCGAAAATGGCTTAGAAATGCCCCAAAGATGACAAAACCCAAGCCCTAGAGTAGATCTAACAAGTAAGAAGTCAAGGTAGGAGTTTTTTACCTCAAACAAGTTGGAAATGCAACCAAATCACTGGATCTACTGACTTCCTCTTGAATCTCCAAGTCTTTCCTTCCTTCTTCCAACTTCAAATCACAAAGAATGGCACAAAATAGTTCAAGAACACTCAAAAGTTGACTAGGGTTTCGTGGACAGGGTTTGGAGGTGATGGAGGCTGGGGTGGAGGCCTCATAAAGTGTTTAAATAGGGTGCAAACCCTCAAATTTAGGGTTTCACTCAGACAACTCCTACTCGCCGAGTCGGTCTCCCGACTCGTCGAGTAGGTCACTTAACCCCCCCCCCCCCGATCCGCAGCCGATCCTACTCGACGAGTTGGGCCTCCAACTCACCGAGTCCTAGTGTAAAATATGAAGCTTTGCTTGAATTTAATTATGTACCTGAAACCGGGTGTTACAGTTTAAGTCATATTTGTTTGAGACAGGTGGAATTGTGATTAGTCAAAAAAAAAGTTATGGTTTTATTCCATTTGGGGGGGGGGGGGAGTATCATGTCCAAAAAGGGTGGGAGCTACCGTGATACCTCCAAGACTCCATTCTTTCAAGCAGTTTGTCATCTCGACAGGTTTATGAACATGTTCAACCATTTACCAACCCATGCATTGAGTACTTGTACTTCTTGCTTTAATATTTGTATCAAAATAATTTATGTTTTTAAATTAATTTGTGAATTAGTTTTGTATGTTTTTAATATTTTGTAAATTAGTTTTGTATAACTTTTATTAAAAATTGAGTAGGTTGAGTGAGTTGAGAAATATAAGGTTTCTATGTGTTATAAGTGGGAAAAGATGAAAGAGAGTGAGGAGAGATGAGTGGGTTAGGAGGAAATGACTCTCTTCACCCTTCAGAATATATATATATATATATATATATATATATATATATATATATATATATATAATAAAAAATCATAAAAATATAGTAAAAGAAATCATTATGTACACAATTTCTTTTTTATAATATTTATTAAAAATGTCAAGGTTGAGCCTAAAATAAAAAACTATTATCTTTTCATTTTGGGCTTAAAATGGTTGAGACCTAAATAAGATAATAAAGCGAATAACTTCTTGATTGCGAGTGGGACCACAATGACATATCATCAAAACAAAACATACATGAACAAATTGGTACGATTCATGTGAGATGCATACAACTAACAACACCATACAAATAACCGATGAACAACAAAATGACATTTCCTATAGAAACTATTCATATTATCCAAAACTAAATATTTCCTTAGATTGTTCTAAAGAAATCTTGAATTAGTAAGCCACAAAAAACATGATTGTATTACATATTCCACCTTCACACACCCATTAACAAAGATTCATCATGTTCACCAATAATCTTGACACGAACACAAACCATCTTTAAAACAATGAAATCTCTTAGCATCACGTATAACAATATCCTTATTTATGATTCTTGAAACAAGCTTCATATACTCATGACAATCTCCACATATTCTCAAATTCTTAAAAATTCTCACCATTTTATTCGAGTTCTTGTTAATTAGCGAAAACCCAAGAGCTAACCTTTCGCTATGATGTGAAAGAATTTCACGTTTTTCTCTCTCTGAAACATTATGAAGCACATAATCAAGATTTGGAATGTAACCCATTGAAAAAAGCTTTTCCTCCAATTCTTTCAACTTTTGATGGATTTCAAGTATCTGAAAATGAGAACCATCTTGTGATAAGAACACATGGGTTTGACCACCATGGTCAAGGTCAACCCAACTACACCCTGGTTCCTTTTTAATCCCTTGACTTGACATCTTTGCCCTTATTTTAGCCACTTCATTCCACATCCCTTTGGATGCATAAATATTGGATAACATAATGTAATTAGAATCCACTTCGGGTTCAATTTCAAAAAGCTTTTCTGCAACTTTTTCACCAAGTTCTAAATTCCCATGAACTTTACAAGCTCCAAGAAGAGTCTCCAAAATCAAACTACTGTGAGTTAACTTCATTTCATCAATGAAACTTTCAACTTCATTAAACTTTCCTCCCCTACCAAGAATATCAACCATGAGGGCATAATGGTCAATACTTGGAGTAATTCCATAATCTTTACTCATGGAGTGAAAATATTCTCTCCCTTTCTTTATTAATCCCAAATGGCTACAAGCAGAAAGTATACCAATGAAGGTAACCCCATCAGGTGATATACCTTTAGTCAACATTATTTCAAACACTTTCAAAGCTTTATCTCCATATCCATGTTGTGAATATTGATTAATGATTGTGTTCCACAACACTGTATCATTTGATTCCATTTCTTCAAAGATCATTTCAGCTTCATCAATGGAACCACATTTGCCATACATGTCTAAAAGTGCACTTCCCACAAAAGGGTCATTAACAAAACCATCTTTAATCACAAAAGAATGAATCTTTTTTCCATTTGTGAGACTTGTGATTCCAGAACAACCTCTTAAACATGCAGCAAGAGTGAACTCATTCGGTTTCACACCATCTTTATTCATTTGATTGAAGTAAAGAATCGATTTTTCCCCTTGATTCGTTTGTGCACATCCTGAAATTATCGTTGTCCAAGTGAAAAGGTCGATTTCATTCATCCTATTAACAATCTTTTCTGCATCTTGAATGCATTTGGACTTCACATACATGTCAATCAAAGCTGTTCCAATGTAACAATCACTATCAAGATTCTCTTTTATAACATGACCATGAACTTGCTTCCCGAATTCACTTGTTACACAAGAACGTAGAGCACTGATAAATGTATAAATATTGGGTTTAAAGCCATTTACAAGAATCTCCTTAAAGATTCTTGATCCATGAGAGCTTTCAGTGTCATGGAATCCTGATAAAACTGCATTCCATGAAACTAAATCCTGATGATTCATTGTGTTAAAGATTCTTAAACCATCATCAAGAGATTTGTTCTTCATGTACATTGTGATTAATGCATTGTTGACTAAAGTTTCATTTGCAAAACCGTATTTATGAACACAAGCATGAAGAGATTGAGAGTATTGTAAGTCACCTAGTTCTTTAGCAGCAGTGATAATGCTTGTAAAGGTAAACTGATTTGGTCTTATTCCTGATGACATCATCATGGAAAAAAACTCGGTTGCCTTTTCTTCCTTTCCTTGTTGTTCAAGGCAAGATATGATAGCACTCCATGTTACAACATCTGGAGATTTTATCTGTGAAAACACTTTTAATGCATCATCTGATTTCCCACATTTAGAGTACATGTCAACTAGGCTACAACTTACATATTCTTCATGTTCACTTCCACTCACAATTGCCATACCATGTACAAGTTTTCCTGCTTTTAGATTTTTAGAAATCGTGCATCCTTTGAGAATAGTGCATAATGTATACTTGTTAAACTTCATTTCAGTTTCTTTCATTTTACAAAATAGGTTTAAAGCCCTTTGGTCATCACCCACTAGAGCAAATCCATTAAGTAATGAATTCCAAGAAACTGGATTTTGTTCAGGTAAGAAAAGGCAGACCTTTTCTGCATATTCTAGCTCACCACATTTAGCATAAAGATCAACAAGAGCAGAACCAACATGCCCATCTGATAAGAATCCAGCTTTAACAATCTCACTGTGTAGCTGCTTACCAAAAGACACGTTTAAAGACATACAACAAGCTTTTAAAACAGTGGCTAATGTGAATTCATTCGGCTTAATGCCTTCTTCATGCATCTCACGAAACAACTGGAGGGCTTCAGTGCCACTTCCCTCGCCTACAAATCCACTAATAAGAGCTGTCCAAGACACGACATCTTTCTGAGGCATTTCATCTAATACCTGGCGTGCGACACTCAAACACCCACACTTGGCGTAGAAATTAATCAGCGATACCCACAAATGAGAATCCAATTCAATATCACTTTCCTTAATCTGCTTGTGTATTGATTTACCCTCGTTCAGAGACCGATTTGCAGCACAATCACGCAGACTTTCTGAATACCGTCTTAGTTTCTCTTTATCCCGCTTTCTAGGAGCGTTTTTCTTTTTAATGGGTGAATGGGATTTAGGTCTTAGTGAGGTAAGTTGTAAAGAAGTGCAGTAGGAAGAAATTGATGACCTGTTTGTGCAAGACTGATGAGAGTTATTGAAGAGAGAGATGAAATGGGTTTTAGTGAAGGCGTTAAAGAAGAGATTTTTAAGAGGATTTCGTGAGCGACGATGCATTTTAAGAGGTGGGAGTTCAGGAAATTCCATGCAATCGAATATGGTACGAGGAAGAGCACCAAGTGCGCTGCACTGCGCACAAATACGTGGTGTTGGAGCTGCTGAGTTCTTAGGGTGCTGCACTGCTGCCGCGCGAACGTGTAATCCCCCGCCAAGTGAACGTGTTGATGTTTGGGCTTTCTCAAAACAACTTATTAGGGGAATGGTAATATATATATATATTTTTTTTTAAAAAATTTTTTTAGCGTTTAATCTGATTTGGCAGGGAGGGTAACATTTTTAACACTTCATTTTTTATTTATTTAATTAATTTACTTTACTTTGATATAGAAACATTTTTTCCTACCAAGTTTTTTTTACAAAAAGTTAAAGATCAAAACTAAATGTATATTTAATTGATTTATTGATATTTTCTTCTCATGGTATGGTTCTTGGTGTAAGAAGAAAATATTTGATATAATCAAATTGGCCATTACGTTTTCTGCAATCCACATAAACATGTTCTTTTGATGCAATTTCTGTAGGTAATTCTGTGAAATCACTAAATAGATTGAAGAGCTATTTGAGTGTTTATCATACACATGTCATATAGTTTGCACAAATGCTTACAAAGACATAAGCAGGATGGTTGTTTGACTAGTTCCATTTTTATTAAAGGCTCTTAGTTTCAGAATTAGAAACTAACTGTAATAATCCATATCAGCCAAAATTGTTACCAAAAATTTTGAGTTCCAATTTCCTAAATCATAAAAAAATTGCATCCAAGTTATGTTATGACAGAAGTATACAATCAACAAAACTAATTGAAATAAAACAAATGAAATTCAAATATATATATATATATATATATATATATATATATATATATATAATATATAGGAATCAATTTACAGAAAACATACTTGTATGATGATTACACAGAAAATATAATCACGAAATTGTACAGATTGAGACCTGCTTTGCATTGTCCTAACACATAAATTTCCCTGGTATGGATCTGTCAAGAGGATACAACAATCAATCCAAGAAGTGATCTTGAATCTGTCGAAATTTCTATGTTCCCTTCATCTTCATGAAGAACGAATTTGCAAGAGAATTTGTGGTGTAAAATGATTTCTATAACCCCTCACAAATGAATGAAAACAGGTATTTATAGGTATTAGTTATGACAGTTGGAAACTGTCAAAACCGAAAATAACTGCCATAATACCTGTCATTCAGTAATTACGAATTTAATAAAAAATTAAAAAATTAATTTCTTAATTAAAAAATATTTAATTAATCGGGAAGACCCCAAGAGCCCCAAGGCCGAAGGCCCATCTTTTGACCATTAAATATTCTCTTGATATTAGCCTATTTTGAGTCCAATTAGGCTAGTCCAACACCACAACCCAAACCCAATATGCTTAACCCGTTACTTGATCAATTTGATTAAATGAGTGGGACAAGACATATAAGGTGGAAAAATGTTTTCTCTTCCACTAATGTGGAATAAGTCCCACATTGTAATTTTGTAAAACAAAGTTCCAACAATAGCCCACATTTTCTATTCAAACTCCAAGAATACCCCACATTTGCATAGAAAATAAGTGAACTTTGATATTCAAATAAGTGAAGTAAGATATGACATGCATCTGAATAGGTGTTGTAAAACTTGAACCTTTCATAGTGAGTACTACTTGGATCTACTTTGTGGGTAGTGAACTAGAGTCTTGAACTAACCACTTTTTATAGTAGAATAAAAAACAAGAAGTATCACACATATCATATCTAAGAATAGATCATTTCTTACCGTTGTGTTCATTTCAATCGTGAACAATCCTTTTTTCATGATACTTTTAGAGAGCTTAGCCATATCAGCTCCCAAAGATGCGACCTCACATCCATCTCACATAGGTAATCTGGAACAATCCATACTATTCCACTATAAAAGCTATCAGCATTATTAAGAATAAAAAATTCATCCCTATATCATCAACGGAAAAACACAAAATAAATATCATAAGAGTGAGCATACCTTTGTGTTAGTTGTGACATCCCCACTTTCACGGCCAGAAAAGACCGATTTTGTTTATGCTTTGTTTAAAAATCAGAGTAATATTTTAAAGAAAAGTGTTGCGGAATTTGTTCCCAAAATAAAATATGATAAAGATTTATAAAAGCATTTCCGAAGAAATGTATTTCATTAAAAACCCCGGGATGTGATGTTCGATACAAATCAAAAGCATAAACAGTACAATATAAGCCTTACAACATTTATTCATATCTACAGACCTATAACCGTAATCCCTCATCCCAAACATCACATCTATGCTCGAGTGCCACTACCTGTAATACAAGAAACTGAGTGGGTCAGGCTTGGGAGCATGGTGAGCACATATGGTTTTCAACCCACAATAAATAAGTTTATTAACTTTATCAAACCAAACAAACCCGATTACCCGTTCCCGTTATCCTCACTTTACGTCCCTAAAACATCTAACACAAGGGACCTAGTCTAAGGACTTTCATCGGGGTGACAACACTGCTTCGGGGGTTCCTCAGTAATTTATGTCAAATAAGGCAACCATGTGGGGGATGGAGTACTGCTGGTGAACACTGAGTTCTAATAAACACCTACAGGTGGCGAGCCTGCTAGCGTTCCACTGGACTGTCTAGAATAGTTTGTGGTCGTCATCTATACTCCGCTAGATGACTGGATCATCTTAAAACATCGAGGTCTCTCATCATTTTATTTCATCACACACCATCTGTTACATCTACCCATGTTTTACCCAACATATTTTGTTGATATAAAATACATATACAGTTTAAATTATTTAAAACATGTATAAAAACGTTCATCCAGCATAGACAACAAGTATTCAGATAATATGCACACATAACACGTAATTCATATAAAATACTTAATATCTATGTATAAGATGAAAGTAACTATGCACTCACTTGATAAGGTGGTGACTCGGTACTCGGACAGCACTCCGTTTACTTAAAACAACTTCCTTTGACAAAACCTAGTATCATTACCATTAGAGTTTAGTCTAATGTTCACCGAGACTAATTAATAGTCTTGATATTATTACTATTATATAAGCGTTAACACAATACTTTTCACCCACTATGTACAAACAGGGGCCAAACATGAAACACCGGAGGGTAGGACCATTTTAGCATATAGCCGTTCTGAAATCCAACAACCCAAGCGGCCCTTCAAACCAGATTCCTCATACCACGAGTGGTTAAAAAGATATTGTAACAACACTTATATAGCTCATAGTAATAGCCCAAATATTTATTATAAGGTCCTAATAACATTACTATATTCAAACAAAAGCTATACTGAAGGTAGGGTAGGCGTAGCTCACATACATCGAGTTTTTCTCAAAACCGGGCTCCGCCGAAGCAGAGTTTCTGAGCCGAAAGCTCTTCTTTTCAGAGCCGTCAGGCGCTCCGGGGCTTCCGCCTCGTGCTAGGGAGTTACCCTAGGCTTTGGGGGGTTTGGGGGGCTTAGAGAGAGAGTTTAGAGAGAGAAAGTAGAAGTGGGAGGTGTGAGGAGAAGGCTTCACCCGACACCTCTATTTGTAGGCTCGGAAACAGCCCAACTCGTCGAGTTGGCCTCCAACTCATCGAGTTCCATGCCAGGTGTCACCATCTGGTGGCTAGCCTTGGGGAGGAAGCAATGGTCAGGATTGTGCCACGTCACCCAAACTCGGACAACTCATTCCCGTCTTAGAAATATCATAACTCTTGCATATGAGGTCCGTTTTCGACGTTATTTATATCCACGCATAGGTGGGATCATACTCTACAACTTTTATTTAGACTCCGTCGGCTAATTTTGACCTTATTTTTACAGTTATATTTTTAACAGGTCGGGATAGGAAAAGTCCGTTAAAAATTCATAACTTCTTCGTCTGACGTCCGTTTTCGTCTGTCTTTTTATTGTTACGCTACTAATAATGAGATCTTCAATTCTCATTTAGGTTGCGTTGGCCAAAAACCGCTCGATCTAAAATTCGAGTTTCGGGCTGTGCACTGCTATGCCAAATCTTAGAAAAACCATAACTTCCTCATATAAAGTCATATTTGGGCGTTCTTTTTATGCACGCTCTCGGTTTAACGTATAATACAACTTTTATTTAGATCACTAAGGCCAAAAATTCCTCTATCATAAATTCACTATTTACATCACGCTATGTCGTGCCGGTTTTGTCGCGAAACTTCGACAGACCATAACTTCTTCGTTATAACTCGGATTTCAGCGTTCTTTATATATCCGGAATCCTTGTTTCGATCACTAAAACTTTATGTATAGATAATGGGTATATTTAACACTTTATTTTCGACGCTTATTTTTATCCTTTATTTATTATACCTTTATGAATACATATAAAGCACATAAAATCACATAATTCACATAATACTCAAATAATTCATCTTTATTACTTCAAAATAGGTTACAATGGTTGACCTGACTATTACATCATTGCACTAATGCTTAGACCAGAAACACGGGTGTTATAATTCTCTCCCCCTTAGGATGATTTCGTCCCGGAATCATGCATCAACAAACAGATGTGGATAGCGACTCATCATGTCACTTTCTGTTTCCCAGGTGAGATTCGGCCCATTCGTATGTTTCTAACGGACAAGCACTAAGTCGACCATCTTGCGTCGTAACTTCTTAGTCTTACGGTCAACGATTGCCTTGGGCTCTTTGATTAGCCTCTTATTCTCATCAATCCTTAACTCTGAAATTGGAATTATGTCGGGAACTTCTCATGTGAACCTCCTTAAATAACACACATGGAAGGTGTTATGAATACCATATAGTTCTTCGGGTAATTCGAGCTTGTAAGCTTGGTTCATAATCTTCTAAAGAACTTTAAACGATCCAATAAACCTTGGACTCGGCTTTCCTCGTTTCCCGAATCTTATAAGTCCCTTCCACGGTGAGACTTTAAGCAAAATGGAATCTCCAACTTCGAATGTCATCGGTCGTCTTTTCTTGTCAGCATAGCTCTTTTGAT